ACACTGTCCGACCGCCCCCCTTTTTGCCTCCTTGGAAGCTCGCTGCCCGGAGCCAAGTCCAGAACCCAGCGGCCATCTCCATGGTGCCAATTACCAGCAAGTGTCTTTCCTGCGGCACCGGGTTCAGGCAGCTACTCCTGCCCCAGAGCCTATGGGGCAGCTTTGCAAGGATCCGGAGCCAGCTCCGGGGGGCCCCAAGCCCCTGACTTGAAGAGGAGCTCAGGCCTCCCTCCACCTGCCCGTGGAAGGAGCTTTGCCGCAGCCTGTTCGAGTCCATCTGTCTGTCCCCTGCCTGCCCCTCTTATGGTGGCTCTAGGACTTGGGGTCCTTCAGGGACCAGAGGATAGGAGGGGTGCCCTGGGCCTGGCACAGACCCCCAGGGTACCTGCCTCTGTGGGATTGCAACAACCTAGTTTGCAAACCGTTAGTGGACTGGACAGAACTCTTGTCGCCTGTGTTTTAGCAGAGGAGCTGTGGGACCCCGATTTTTGAGAACCCCAGCTCCAGAGAGCTCACCGTCTCTGAATTTTGGGGATGTGGGGATTGGAGAGGGAGTCTGAGGAAAGCTGGGCTTGGGACTGGTGGTGCCCAGGCGAGGGTTTCCCAAGTAGGAGAATCCCTCCTTGCTGGATGAGGTCAAAGGTTATCTTGTCTGGCCCTCTGCCTCCAGGCTAAGGGTCTGGGGAGGCAACAGAGCTCCCCAATTTTAGTCTTTTTAAACAAACCATCCCGTACTAAGGGCAGAACCCACTGCCCCGGCCTCAGTGACCTTGGCTCAAGGAGAGAAAGAGAGTGAGGAGAGGCATGAGTGTGAGAATTGGGAGATTCCTTCTCGAGCAGGCCTGGGGCCCTCCCCAGGGCCTTCACAAGCCCTTTTGCATGCTGGGGAGGACGCAGGCTGGCCCCCCTCTCTAGAAGCACATTTCTGCCACCTTCGCCCAGCCGCCCACTCCCCATACCCCCCTCATTACCCAGTCCTGCTGTGTAGGGCATAGTCCTGGTTAGCCGGGTAGGGTTAGTGTGCCAGGCCCTGTGCCTGCTCTTAGCTCACATAGAGTCCTTACAGAGTCCCCACACGGGGCGAGAGGAGATGGAGTGCATTCCAGGAGACGGCCTTTCCCTCCTCGATGGCCTGGCCTGGGCCTCGATCTGGAGTCTGGTTCACACAGGAGGCCGCCCCCCGCCCCCGCTGCCCCCCTTCCTCCTCCCCTCTTCTCCCTCCCCCTCCCCTCCCCTCCCCTCCCCCTTCTCCCCCTCCCCTCTCCCTTCTCCCCCTCCTTCCTCCCCCTCCCTATGTAGGGTTGTAGCCAGAGCTGCCCATGATACTCAGATGTTCTGATTTATTACCCTTGGTACTGATTTTATTTAGGAAGCACTCCTGAGGCTGTGAGCCTTGGCAGAGGGGGCCTGGGCTCCATCAGAGGAGGTCGTTTCCCACTGGGGATGCCCGGCTGTGTTGAGACCCACCTTCCTCCCAGTCCCCCTCTAGGCTGTTGACCAGGTGATTCCTTCCACCTGGAGCCTCCCCTCCCCTCAGCCTGTTTGAGCCCTGGGCACCCTTTAAAATTCTGGAGGAGGTGTAGCGCCCCCATGCTCTGGGAAGGGGAGATGGAGGTCCCCTTTGATCCAGGAGGCCTTCAGACCTTCCTGGGATTGTGGTGGCTGGAATCCCAAGGCTGGGGCAGGAGGCAGCCGGCTCTGGAGGCCCAGAATCAGCGCCTCCCCCGTGTGTTTTTTTTAAACCAGTGTGATTTTTCTGCCGTTCGTTTATTACTCACCATTCGTAATATTTTGAGCCAGGAGAGCGCCTTCTCTCTCCAGCTGTCACTGCTCTGGTAGTTCAGGGGTAGCTTTTCAAAGACAGGGCGGAGCCTGGCTGTTTCAACCAGAGGGGAGGGGGTGTGGTCTGTGCGCCCCAGCGTGATCCTGCCCTCGGGTGTCTGCACAGCCTTTATAAAGAGAGAGAGCATGCTCCAAAGCAATAACATCCAGAGGGTGGTCACCGAGGGCCCCCCTCAATGACTTTCTTGTTTGTTCTGTGAATTCTCAGCTCACCTCCTGGAGGGGTGGGCTGGGGTGAGGGCTGGAGCCCTCTTTCTTTGTATCATCGTTGTGAGCACATGGCCACCTTCCAAGGGGCCCCGACCTTTTGGCGTGGGAACCACCGTCTGTCCTCACCAAGGGATGGGGGTTTGGGGAGGGGTGACTATCCTCATCATTAGCTTTGGGGAACCTTCAAGCCTGCTCCTGTCTGATCCTTTGCCAGCTCAAACTCCCCCATTTGGAGAAGAGCAGAGAGGGTGGAGTTGGGGGGATTAGGGGTCGGGGGGCTGGGGTCTCCAGGGGACAATTCTTTTTTCAATCCTTGGGCCAAAGGTCACATGCAGGGGTATGGTGGGAAGGAGTCATCTCCACTTTCCTTCTCCAGAATCTGCCTGTCGCACTAAAGCGAAAGGGGCTTTGGGACCATTGGTGAAATCATTTCCATTTTACAAAGAGATCACAGGCCTCTGGGGTCACCTGTGAGTTTATGGCACCCCCAGCCGGGGCCTCCTCTTCCCACCAGAGGCTGAGCTGGAGCCACCATTTCCCACAATATTTCCTCCACTCTTCTTTCTGTGTCCTTCTCCCAGGGGCCTTGGAAAGATGGGCAGTGCCAACTGTAGCCCATCTGAGAGGGGAGAAAACTGAGGCTCAGAATCAGTAAGTGACTTGCCCAAGATGAGACCCCTCAGCAAGTGAGCCAAAACCAGGGCTCCACTGTCCCTCCTTTGTGGGACAGAAGACCGTCGCTCCAGGGCACATCTGCCATGATAAATATTTGTGACCTTTAAGCCCTGGGCCACCCAGCCCTGCTTGGTTCCATCTTGGTGGGCCAATAACTTTTCTGGCCCCGGGTTTGGAGGAAAGGGTTGCCATAGAGACCTCGCTCTCCTGGGGTTCTGGCCTGACTAACTGAGGCTGTGCAGGATTTGGTCCAGGCCTTGATGTCTAAGTGGGGACTCCCGCCAAGGGGCCACAACCCCTCCGAGACCAACCTGAGGGAGGCAAGACACTGGTTCCTCCCTGGGGCTGTGCGGGAGTGAGCTGGCTGTGGTACACCTCATCTTAGGGAAATCCTCACCAGACCTTCAGATATAATAACAGCTGATCTTCCTGTAGTGCTTTTCAAACTTTTTTTGTTTTCAAAGTGCTTTTACCTTGCGTGTAACCTCACAAGAGCCCCTGGGCAGTCGGTGGGCACCTGTGTTTCAGCCCCATTTTACAGACGAGGAAGCTGAGGCCCTGGGAGGGGGAGGCACCTGCTAAGGTCCCACTGTGAGCTGGTGGCTGAGCCTGGATGAGAACTCGGTTCTCCAACAGTTCAGAGCTCTTTCTTCAACGTGGGGTGAAGCAGAGAGCTGAGGTCATGCACTTTACAAGCTGATCTGCCATCCGGCTCCTTATATCAGGAGCTCACGGGCACACCTCAGCATTCAGAGGCACCTCTGAGCCCTGCTGCCCTTGGAGCACGGCTGTTGCGTCCGGCAAGGCCACCTGCATTTATTTATTGAGCAGCAGCCCTGTGCCAGGCCCAGGGGACTGGGGTGCCCCACCTCCATCCCCCGTTGCCCTGTAATGACTCCTTTGGGCTCGGGGAGGCTCTGTGTCTGCATAGCAGCATCTCTTGAGTGGACGGGAAACGTTCATGTCCATGAGCTCATCTGACTCACAAACCCTGACGGGGAGGCACTGACTGTGCCCGTTTGACGCATAGCTTCTGTGAGGGCAAAGTGGAGACTTGAACACGGGGCCTCAGGCATCACCTCTGGAGCCCTTTCACTCTTCCACTGCCTCCTGAGGGGTGGCAGGAAGGCAGGACCCCTGGTCCTCAGGCCCACTCTCCACTCACTCACCTTTCCCCCCCTTCCCTCTTTGGCAGCAGGAGCCCCTCAGGCTTTTGGGGAGGGAGGGTTTCCTGGCCCCCTGGGTTGGAGCGGGTCACGTTGCATTGTGTTCATGACCATGTAGCTCATGTTGAAAATTAAAGTTTTTGGCTTTTCTAACGTGGCTTTCTAACGTGACTGTGTGTTGACGCACTTCTCTCTGGGACACTAAAGGCCCTTAGTTTTAAGGATCTGAGTGCTCTGGGATGTCAGCTTTGTTAACGTCTCCTTACGGGGCTGGGGCCTGGCCCAGGAACCCTCCCAGAGATGCACAGGAGGGAACAGGGTACTGGGTGAACCCAGTCATTTTACAGATGTGGAAACTGAGGCCCAGGGAGGGGATGAGACTCCCCGAGGTCACACTGTGGGTGATTGGCAGTACCCAGGTCTCACAGTTCCCAGAAGAGACTGTGGTCCAGGTGCCCCCGTGACACGGGTGTCAGCAAGGCCCCCCCTTATCCCAAAGTGGGGCTGGCCAAGGACAAACAGCATCAGGTGTGGGGGTGGGGCCAATTCCACTCTGCGCGCCGAGTAAGAGAATGAGTAATCATTTAAATAGTGCAGAGATTTGCCCACTGGTGCACGCTGGACCGTAAAGGTTGCCCTTCAGTCCGTCCGATCCCCGTGCTTCTCGTAGTGGGAGCAGCTGGCCTCACTGGTAGGATTCCAGTGTTGGAAGTCATGCATTTCCCCACAACACGGAAAGCCCACCTCTTCACACAACAGAAAAATGGGCACCTGCTTCCGTTCCGCAGGGCTAGCTAGGGACATGGGCCTGTGGCGAGCCTCTCCTCAGTGGCGGGTGTGGCCACGCCTTCTAAAACAATTTGGATCACAAGTGGTTTGCACCTACAGGGCGAGTTTAGAGTCATGCTTGTGCTTATGATGCGACTTTAATACATTTTTGGAGAGGAGGGAGGGGCTTGCCACAGAAGGAAATGAGAAACTACTCGTGGCAGAGGACGGCATTGAGGCTACGGCCCCTCACCCCTCTCCGAGGTCTGGGGAGGGTGTACTGACAGGTGAATCCAGACCCTCCGGCTCTAGGATCGACCCCCAGCCAGGGTAGGGCTGTCAGATGGACTTACGCCGGGCCAGGGCCCTGCCTGCCCTGCAGCCGCCGCCGCCGCCGCCGCCGCCTCCAGCCCCAGGGCTCGCGGGGGGCGAGAAGCCCAGATTGTCGCGGGCCCGCAACTCCAGCTGGTGGATGCGGTAGGAGATGGAGGTGGAGCCGGCGGGGTGGGCGGGGTGGCGGGGCAGGGCGGGGCCTCGGCTCTCGGGCGCCCCCCGGCGGAGCGGGCGGGCAGCACGCTCGGGCGCGTCCGCGCTGGCCGCCAGGAAACGCAGGACCACCAGGTTGAGGAAAGCGCCGATGACCGTGAGCCCCAGGAGGATGTAGAGGAAGCTGAAGACCACGTAGGGCGGCTTCCTCTGCAGCGCCTCGTCGTTCTGCAGCGCCACGAAGTCGCCAAAGCCGATGGTGGTGAGGGTGATGAAGCAGTAGTAGTAGGCGTGGAAGAAGGTCCAGCCCTCGAAATGCGCGAAGGCGGCGGCCCCGAGGGCCAGGGTGGCCGCGCACACCAGCAGCCCGGCCACCACCATATTCTCGGTGGACACGTGCGGCCGCCGCAGGCCCAGGCAGCGCTTGGCCGCCAGCAGGAGGCGCCGCATCAGCGCGTTCAGCCGCTCACCCAGGCTCTGGAAGGTGACCAGCGTCAGGGGGATGCCCAGGAGCGCATAGAACATGCAGAAGACCTTGCCCGAGTCCGTGCCCGGCGCGGCGTGACCGTACCCTGAAGGTAGAGAGGAGGGGAGGGTTGATGAGAGTCCAGCTCCATCTCACACTCTCGCCCGCTGCCGGGTCTCTCTCCCCATCCCCCATAGCCGGCAGAGCATCTTGAAATGCTAGTTCGAACCAGGTCGTTCCCCGGCTTTAAAAACCTTGCATGGTTACTCATAATCGACCCAAATTGTAAACAATCCAAACGTCCCTCAACTGGGGAATGCATAAACAACTGTGGTACATCCATACAGTGGAATTCTTTTCAGCAATACGAAGGAATGAACTACTGTTTCCTCAGCAACAAAGGATGGGTTTCAAATGTATTCTGCTGAATCAAAGGAGCCAAGCTCAGAAGGCTACCTATTGCATGGTTCCATTTAAATGACATTCTGGAAACATTCTGGTAAAACTATAGTGACAGAGAACAGATCTGTGGTTGCCAGTCCTCGGAGTTGGAGGTGGGGTTAACTAACTAAAAAAGGACATGACAGGGGACTTCCCTGGCGGTCCAGTGGTTAAGACTCTGCCCTTCCAATGCCGGCAGCGCAAGTTTGATCCCTGGTCAGGGAACTAAGATCCACATGCTGTGCAGACAAAAAAAAAAAAAAAAGGCATGACAGAATTTTGGGGAATGATGGACATGGTTCTATGTCTTAATCGTGGCTGCAGTTACAAGACAGGTTTTCATTTGGCAAAACCCGCAGAAGTGTACACTGAAAAATAGTGAATTTTAATGTCTGTAAGTTGTGCCTTGAAAGAAAAAAAAGCAAAATCTTTTGTGTCTCCCCAGTCCCCACAGGGTAAAGTCCCAGTTCTCAGGTGATGTCCAAGCTCCTTCATGATCAGGACCCCCCCTCACCTCTCCAGCCTCGCCCCATTTTGTTTCCCCAACCAGGTTGTCCTTTTCTCATGGTTCCCTTCCCCACCACGATCTTCTCCCCCTGTCCCAGTCCACGTTTCCCTTCCCAGATCCTGCTCCAAGCCAGCTCTCACAAAACACCTCTTCAGTCGGGTGGAGCTCCTCATTGAGTCCCCTCAGCTGTTGTAGGGGACGTAAACATGAGTGGGCTTCCCTGAGTCTTGGCACACCGTGCCATCACCATGGAAATACTGGATATGTGTGTCTTCCAGGATTGAGAAGCGAAAGCTTTCATGGTATTCTCAAAGGGTCCCATAACCCAGGAAAAGTCAGGTGGCCCTTCCCCAACAGAATATGCCTCCTGTAGCAAATTAGCTCCATCTGCCAAAATGTAAATACACCTCTGGCCTGTGCAGTTCCACACCGAGGAAGGTAGTCCTCCAAAATACATACACGTGCAAAGTGATGTATGCGTGTGAGTTGTCATTGAAGCACTGTTGGTCATAGTGAAAACTGAGAAACAGCCTAAGTGTCCCATCAAAAGCAGCCTGGTTAAATAAGCCACAGCGCCATTCAGACGATGGCTGTGCTTCCCACGGGGGGCAATTTTGCCCCCGAGGGCACAACTGGCAATGTCTGGAGACATTTTTGGTTGTCACAGCTGGGAGGTGGTGGCTGTGTGCTACCGGCATCTAGTGGATACAGGCCAGGGTCCCGCTTAGCATCCTTTGATGCACAGGACAGTCCCCACAACAAGAATAGGCAGCCCAAAATGTCGCCGGTGCTGAGGCTGGGGGGCCCTGCTAGTCCGCCATGAAAAAGAGGACACAATTCTTCAGGGACTGATGTAAAAACATCACCAAAATATATGAAGTGAGAAAAGCAAGAGGCGAAACCGCATGTATAATATAATGTATTATAACATGTTTGTGTGTGTGTTAAAGGAATATATGGAGAAGATATTTGGAAGGATCCTCAAAAAGCTGATAACTGCATTTGATCCAGGGAAGGGATCCAAGGGTTGAGGGACAGGGAGAGAGGGAGACTTCCTTTTCATCCTATACCTTTTGTACCCTGTGTGCATATATAACATTTGAAATATCAACCATATATATATGTGTGTGTGTGTGTATATATAAAATATTATATATATATATATATTTAAAGATCTATGGCTCCACTTCCATGTTTTTACTTTATGGCCCTATCAGTCTGCCTCTATCTATTTGGCGGCGGGGGGAGGGGACGACTCTGCTGCCACTAGACAACTGTGAGGTCCGTGAGACCAGAGACCATGCTGGTCATTTCTCTGTGTCCCTGGTCACCAGTGAATGCCCTGCACAGAGCCTGACACAGACTAAGGGCTCAATGAAAGTTTAATCACCAATGATAGGGACTTCCCTGGTGGTGCAGTGGTTAAGAATCTGCCTGCCAATGCAGGGGACGTGGGTTCGAGCCCTGGTCCGGGAAGATCCCACATGCCACAGAGCAACTAAGCCCGTGCGCCTCAACTACTGAGCCTGCGCTCTAGAGCCCGCGAGCCACAACTACTGAGCCTGCACGCCACAACAACTGAAGCCCACGCACTCTGGGGCCTGCATGCCGCAACTACAGAGCCTGCGTGCGGCAACTACTGAAGCCCACGCGCCTAGAGCCCGTGCTCTGCAACAAGAGAAGCCACCGCAATGAGAAGCCCACTCACCGCAACAAAGAGTAGCCCCCACTCACCGCAACTAGAGAAAGCCCGCACGCAGCAACGAAGACCCAACGCAAACAAAAATGAATAAAATTATTAAAAAAAAGAAATGAAAGAAATAATCAATGATAATAATGATAGACCAGATTGAAGGAGGTGCTAAGTGTGAGACAGAGGAGCCACTTTAGGAATAAGAGGCCGGACGGTACTGTTTCTAGCTGTTTGGGGGTATGTCAGGTTTTGACAGAAAGAAAAATGAATAATGGTAATAACTAAACATGCTAGGTACTCTACATGGATTATTTTATTTAATCGTCCAATGACTGTATGAGATGATATTATCCCCATTTTACAGATAAGGAAACTAGGCTAGAAGGAGGAAGCTGCCCAAAGATCACAGGGCTGAGCTATTAACCACTATCCTCCATAGCTTCTCGGTGCCTCTCTTCTGTCCTTACAGAGCTCAACTCCTAGATTCTGGCGCCTGGCTCTCCCTCTGCAAGGCTGGCTTATGCAACCTGGACCACACAGCCAGTGCTGGCGCCCCCAGGTGGCCAAAAGAGGCAAAACTGCTGTTTCCACAGTCCCTTCCCCCCACCCTCCCAGATGCAGGTCAGAGGGGAGCAGTCAGAAGAAGAGGCCAAATCCAGCTGGGAGGACTCCAAAAAATGTGGCGGAAGGCAGAGGAGGTGGATAGGGTCCCACACCACTGGGCACAGTAACAGGGAGGGTCTTAGGCTAGGCCAAGATAGGCAAGCAGGGGTGCCCACTTTGACAGGAGGGGTCAAAAGGGCTGAACTGGAGCTGGGCCCACAGTTGGCAAATAATGAATTGTTATTATTGCTAATTAATAGTCGCTATCTAGCCTCAGGCCTCTGCTATGCATTTTACACAGCTGGCCTCACTTAAACCTGGTAATGACTCAGTGAGGTAGCAACAATTGCACTTTGTAGTTGAGGAAACCAGGGCTCAAAAAGGTACAATCAATTGTCGGAGAAGGCAGGAGGCAACAGAGATGAGAACAGAACTCTGGCCGATGTAATTGCAGAACTCAGGCTTCTAACTCCACTGCTAAACGCACAGACTCACATTGGCCTGCAAGAGCATTACGGAGGAACTTTCTCCACGGCACTGCAGGTTGGTGGTCTAAGCCCAAAGGGACACCTGGACACCCACAGCTGGGGCCCGGGGAGTGTCTGGCACCCAGCCTGGAGCCCTGCAGAACCTGCTCCTCTCCTTTTCCGCTTCCCCAGGCTTAGGCTCAGCAGGTACCAGCCAGACAGTAGCCATGGCAACGGCTGGCGGTCCAGATACTGCAGAGGAAGTGCTCTGGATCCCCGAGGGTGAGGTCCAAAGCTGGTGGTAATCAGTCATTCCTTCAACAAATATTTATTGAGTGTCTACTACTGGCTAGGCACTGGCCATACTGCAGGGACTAAGACAGAGTAGATGCCCATTCTCTTTTGTGTCATAATACAAAAAGCAATCTTTTTTTTAGTGCTTTCTATGTGTCGGGTCCTGTGCTAAAACTTTCTGCATATATTATCTCCTTAATGATAACTGTCTCACTACAGCCTTGAGATAGGGCCTATTAGCACCCCTATTTTATAGAGGAGAAAACTGAGGCTCAGAGAGGTTAAGCAAGTGGTCTGAGGTCACACAGCCAGCGTGATGCAGCCAGGCAAGGAAGCAACTCCAGCCATTTGGGCTTCTGGCCCCATTCCATCCGTCTGCCAGCCCCTGGGGCGTTTTCTGACACTCCTGCGGGCCAAGCCTCTTGGCAAACGGGACCTACTGGCTCCTCCCAGCCTTGCCTGCGTGGAACGACAGACAGCCCATTCGACAGAGGGAGGCGAGTGAGGCTCGGCGAGCTGAAATGACTGGTCCAAAGTCACCCAGGTGGACAGGGGCAGAAGTGGGATTCAAACCCAGGGACGCCGCGGGCAGCTGGGGATGGAGCGAGCGCTGAGGGGAGGCGCCGGGGCCGCTCACCGATGGTGGTGATGACGGTGATGGCGAAGTAGAAGGAGCCGGCGAACTTCCACTGGCGGCCGGCGCGGTGCGGCTCGGCTTGCCGCGCCAGGCGCTCCAGCTCGCGGTAATCCTCGGTCGAGAAGCCGTACTTCCTCCGCAACTCGCTCCGCTTCTGGGCCAGCAGCCGCTTGCGGCCGCTCTCCGCCTCGGACTCGAGCGCGTCGAAGACGGCGGCGCCCACCAGCAGGTAGGACAGGATGCACAGGATGAGCGCGGCGGTGCGCACGCTCTGCTTCCTCATCGCTGAGCCCTGGGCCCCGCTCGCCGGCCCGGCACCCTGCCCGCCGCCGCCCCGTCCATGCGCCCCGACGGCCGGTCCGCGCCCCACGCGGCAGGAGCCAGGGCTGCTTGCGGCTGGGGTGCGGTACCCAAGGGCGGGGCCTCGGCGGGGCGGGGCGAGGGGGCGAGGAGGGCCGAGAGGGCTCCTGCAGCTGCCCCTTCCCTGCCGCCTCCCGCACACCTGCCTTTGTTTACCCGGTGGGGCCCCGGGGCTAAGGTGTCTGCAGATAGCGACAGTGGGAGCAAAGCGCCCAAAGCCCAGGTCTGCAGGAGCCCTGTCTCCACCACTATCTCGTCCTGTGACCTTGGGCAAGTCATTCATTTATCCGTTCGGTCAGTCATCCAACAAATATTTACCAAAGCACCTACTGGTGCAAACAAGATTCCTGGTGTAAATAGACCTGATATCCTAGGATGGAGGGTTGGCTAAAAAGCAAACACACAAAGAGATAATTTAAGAAAAGTGTGAGAAAGAAGGAAAACTTCTTTTCTTGCGGGGGTGGGGGGGATCGCCAGCTAAGGTTGAGGGGAGAAAGCCTCCCTGGGGAGGGACTGGGGCGGAAGCGTCCAGGCAGCAAGTGCGGGTCCTTTAAGCAGAGAAGCCAGTGTGTCTGGAGCCACAATAATTGGGGTGCTGGGGGAGTAAGGGTGGGAGTGGGGATTGGAAGGAAGACAGAGAGTCCACTTCACACAGGGTTTTACAGGCCCTCCCGAAGGTTTATTCTTCAGTACAATGGAAAACCCTAGAGGGACTTCCCTGGAGGTCCAGTGGTTAAGACTCCACGCTTCCACTGCCAGGGAACTAAGATCCCACGTGCCACGGGGCGCAGCGGAGAAAAAAAAGAAAAAGAAAACCCTAGGAAGGTTGTAAGCAGGAAAACAGACACCAACAATCTGATTGACATTTAGAAACAAAAGCATTCTGGCTGTCATGTGGGAAAGGGATGGTGGCCCAGAGTGAAGGTCAGTTAGGAGACTTCTTTTTTTTTTTGGCCACGCTGCCAGGCATACGGGACCTCAGTTCCTGAACCAGAGATCTGAACCAGGGCCCCCTGCAGTGGAAGCACGGAGTCTTAACTGCTGGACCGCCCGGGAAGTCCCCAGTTTGGAGACTCTTGTCGTCCAAATGCGTGCTTAGGGTGGCCTGGAATCAGGGGCATCGCCCTGGAGATGGAGACAAGCGGGTGGATCTGAGATGCTGGGGCCGGGGGTGGAGCCGGGCACACACGGCCAGCCACATTTCCCAGCCTCCCTCGCGCTTAGGGGTGTCCATGTGACAATGGAATGAGGGCAGAAGTGACCTGTGCCACCTCCAGGCCTGGCCCATAAAGCCCTCCCACACGCCATGCCCCCACCTGTCTTCCCCAACTGCAGACTGAATGCGGACACCTAGTCTTTAGGAGAGGACAGAGCCACGGGGTGGGAGGAGCTGGGGTGCAATGACACATTGCAAAGGGTATCCCAAAGGAACACCTAATTTGAACTTCTGTGGCATTAAGCCCCTGACGTCTGGGGTCCATCTGTTACCACAGCTAGCGTTACCCAGATGCGCACAGCAACAGGACTTGCTGAGGGGTTGGGTGTGGAGGGCGAAGGGGAGGATAACTCAGGGATGATCCCGGGGTCCTTGGCCTGAACAGCTGGGCACTCGGGGCACCTTCCATTGACCTCACTCCCTGAGGAATCTGCCCCTGCCCACCCACCCCCCCCAGCACCAAGGCGACACTCAATTCAGAGTCCTGGGTAAGCCTTCATGGAGAGTCTGGGCAGAGCACAGGCAGCCTCTCCTGCAGCTCTCTGGGGCACCCACCTTCCCAGGTCTCTGCTGCAGCCTTGACACGCATCACTTGTCCCCCTGTGACCATTCCAGCCCCTCTTCCTGCAGCCCCTTTGCATTTTTCTGCTCCAGCTCCATTAAACTTTCAGCTCCTTGTGCAAACTCTTGCTTTGCTTGGAACAGTCCTCCCCCTGGCCCATTCAACAGCCAACATTTATTGAATGCCTACTAGAGGCTAGGCATTGGTTGAAGCACTTTACATGTATTCATGCATTTAATCCTCACAACCTCCTTATGTGATAGGGGCTGCTGGCTAATGCCCTATTCATCCTTCACCTCTCCCTTAGTTGGACATCTTTCCTGACTCCTAAGGTGTTCCTCCTCTGCTCCTCGAAGATTTCCCGTGCTCCTGCCATCTCTCATCCCTCCCACTGCTTTGTAATTCTCGTGTTCCATATATGTGTCCCCCTGAGGACAGGGACCCCATCTTGGTGCCCCGCCTATCCCCAGCAACCGGACCTAGCACAGAGCACACATCCAGTGATCGTTTGTGGATGAACAAGCAGCAGTATCAGCGTGTAGAGCGTGGACTCTGCACCTCCACTGCCTGGGAGCGTGTCCTACTTTCACTTACCAGTCGTGTGAACTTGGGATGCCTCAGTTTCCCCAGTTTAAAATGGGGTTAGGAAAGTTCCTATCTCATAAGGTGCTGTGGTCAGCAGAATAATGGCCTCCCTGAAGATGCCCACATCCTATCCCTGAGACCTATGAATACGTTACGTTATGTGGCAAAGGGGAATTAAGGTTGCAGATGGAATTAAGTTTGCTAATCGACTGACCTTGAGATGGGAGATTATCCAGATGATCTGGGTGGGCCCAATGTGATCCCAAGCATTCTTATAACTGGAAGAGGGAAGCGGAAGAGGGGGAGCCAGAGAGATGCAAGGTGAGAAGGACTTGGCCTGACGTTGCTGGCTTTGAAGATGGAGAAAGGGAGCCACATGCCAAGGACCACAGGTGACTTCTAGAATCTGGAAAAGGCAAGGAAACAAATTCCTGCCTAGAGCCTCCAGAAAGGAACGCAGTTCTCCCAATGCCTTGATTTTAGCCCAGCGTGACCCGTGTAGACCTCCATCCCACAGACCTGGAAGGTAATACGTTTGTGTTCAAGCCGCCAGGTGTGTGATAACTTGTTATAGCAGCGATAGGGCACTACTACAGTGGTTGTGGGGATTAAATAAGCGGGCAAATGTGCGGCCCTGAGAGCATCGTCTGGCCCCGACAGCCCATCTAGAAGTGTTAGCCAGTGATGCAACTGTCACAACGGAGCGAAGGCCCAGGTCCGCGGGATGCTAGACTCAGTTCCTGCCCTGACTCAGTTCTCGGGCAGAATTGGGACCCCGCGCCTGGTAAGGGGAGCCTTGGACCCCTTCTTCCCCTGAGAAGCTAGAGGGGGGCAGCTCAGCAGCTCCGAAGCAAGTGGCTGGTGCTACTGCCTCAGCTTCATTTTTAGCGATGGTGTCAGCAAGTTTGATTTTCTGATTCCTGCTCAGACTTCAGAGGAACAGAAACCTGGCCTAGAGTCTCAGAGTGGGCCCGGGTGGGGCACCAAGGATCTATAGCCCGAGAAGGGCCTGAGCAGAGCTTATGGGGCCAGTAGGGGTGGAGGGAGCTTGCTCTCAGGGGAAGGGCTGGGTCCACCCCGGGGACAGTTGATGAGTCCTGGTCCTGAGCACAGCTGGGTCAGTGAGGGCTGGGTTTAGATTCCAGCTCATTCACTGTCTACCTGGGTACCTGTGGATAGAAGCCTTCTGCTTCTCTGCACCTTAGTTTTCCCATGTGAGAAATGGGGGTGATGGTCAGGCCCACCTCCTGCATTATAAAAGACACCATATGTCACTTTCCAGGTGCCCAGGAGCCACTTTTCCTCCTTTTTTACAGCTGACTGCCTGCTGATGTCAGCAATTCTTTTTCCAGAAGCAGGGGCAAGAGACTGTGGAGCGCTGTCCGCACTAGGAACGTTCACAGACATTGCTAAGGGAGCCTCACTCCCCAGTGCAGGAAGCCGGGCTGCAGAGGAGAAGAGACCCCGCTTGCCAAGTCCTCACAGCCAGGCAGCGGCTGAGTCAGAACTTGAACTCAGGGCTGTCTGGCCCCCCAGGGTCACGATCCTTCGGATACACGGTGCCGCCCCATTAGGCAAGATGCTGGGGGCTTTATCACCCTCTAGTGGCCTCTCGGATCTCACTTTCCTAATCTCTAAGGTGGGTTTGAGGAGCTCTGGCTTCCCGCCGCCACTGTTGTGAGCATCTCATGAGACGAAGCTGAGAGGTGCTTTGTCAGATGGGTCCGCTGGCGGGGGAGGTATTACTGGGGCCACGAGGAGCTGTCTGGCCCTGCCAGGCAGGTGACTCTGCCCTGTGCTTGGCATTTTCGGTTCTGCAGCTCTATTTTAAGCCAGAGGAGGTTAGAGTTTGTTATGTGTGTTTCTCAGCTTGGAGAACAGTCAGCTGAGCAGTCACCAAAAACAGCAACACCCCAAGGCACTCCCTGAAGCTCCCCTCCCTCCGCCTCTCCCTCCCTTCTTTTTCCTTTGGGAACCTGAGGGGACCTAGTGATTTTCCTCTGTCCCTTCATGCCAGAGTCGCACGGGGACCCATCAGTGAGGCTTGGATCTTCTTCTTCCAGAGCTGCAAGTTTGCCAGCCTTGAGGACAACGAGATAGGTGATTCCAGGCCCTAACTGGGTCCTCTACACCTTTCAAAGTGCTTCACGTCCCTGAGAAGGTCAAGGTCCTTCTGAAAGCTGTAGGAGCCAGCAGGCCTTGTCATTCCCACATCAGGGAGAGAAACAGACTCAGACAAAGAATAAAGGCTGCCGTCTAATGTGCCACATGGTAGGTAGGACAGTGGTTAGGAAAGAACGTGAGTTTCTGAGTGAGCCAGACCTCAGTTCTACCTTGGGCAAGTGGCTTCACCTTTCTGAGCCTCAGTTTCCTCATCTGTGACATGGGGGCAAAAGTATCTGCCTACCAGTGTTCCTGTGAAGATTAAATGAAAGCATGAAGGGGCACTCAGCACAGATTAGGTGCCTAGCAAATGTTAGTGCCCCCTCCACCCAATTAATTTCTTCTTTTCCTTTTCTACACAGCTTATTCCCCAGACCTACTGAGATCTTAAGGGATT